CCACCCACATTCCGGGTGACCCACGTCCACGGGGTCTGTGCTCCCAGGCCGCCTCCACGGGAAGCCCCCCTGGCTGCCCTAGCCACATTCTGCTTCCCTCACCTGCCGGATCATTCCTGCTGCCAGACCGCCAGGCTCACTCTGCAACCCAGCGAAGCCAGGGTGGGGTGTCCTTCCTTATTCCCAAACCGCAATTACCCTGGGCCACGGGAAGCCCCTCGTGGGCGCAGCCCTGGAGAGAAAGCATGGCGTTCTGTCTACAGGAACCACCCAGAACCTCCTGCGAAGCCTCAGCGGTGCCCAGGCACTCTGTGTGACCACACAGCCTGTGTGTCCCGGGTTCTCCCCGGCTCGGCGGTCCCTCTCCTCAGGGTGCTTTCTCCATGGGGCCCCTCGAGTGCTCCCGCTGGGGATCTACCGCATTTCGGTTCCTTTTTTGACAACAGAACTTTCCAGTAGCCCTCGGTGTTTGTTTCCTCAACCCCCAAGGCTGTTGGCATCACAGGGCCCTCTGGAGGTGGGTCTCCTGTCCCCGGGATGCCACCACGACATGCTGGGTACCAAGACAATGCTCTATCCTCTGCCTCTGCATCACCAGGGCCGGGGGCAATTTCACTGGACTCGTGTGGGACCCACTGATTTCACACACAAGGCCAGGTGTCCCTCACCCGCAAAGCTCAGCTCAGAGGCTGCAGGTTTCTGATGTTCCTGGAGTTTGGAATATTCGCATCCACACCCACCTGGTGTCCCTGGGAGGGGACCTGAGTCTCAACACAGAATTCCCTTGTTTCAGGTACGCCTCCCGCGTGTGGCCGGAGGTCACCCCAGACACAAGGATTTGGTGTCTGCAGCAAGGCTGCACTGTGTGGGGTTTCCCACGGGGGGCGGGGTCAGGTGTGCGCTCTCACAGGTTCAGACTGTGGATGCCTTGGCTTTTGGGTCTCTGGACTGGGGACACTCCTCCTCTGCCTCTGTGTCCTGCTGTCTCCCGCAGAGCCCCACAAACAGACCTTCATGCATTTCCTTCTGTGCACAAAATGTCACCCAGCGGGAAGGCGGTGGAGACTGGGAGGAGTGGGAGGGGGGGCCACCACGCACCTCTTGCTGGTCTCTGTGGACTGCATGGTTGCATTAATTCATTCAGTCCTCGTGTCAGCCTTTGGTCACTGTCACACATGCCTGGGACAGCAGCTGAGGAGGAGGAAAGGTTTATGTGGCTTTGGAGAGTCCAGTCAGTGACCAATTGGCCCCGTTGCTCTTGGGCTGTGCGAAGTGGCACCACATACAGGGCTGTGATGAGGTGCAAGGCCGCCCACCTCAGCCAGGACTGGAGGAAAGAGGAGGGGCCAGAGCCCACAGACTGCTTACAGCTCCCCGAGAGCAGCTCCAGGAAGACGCAGCCTCTCTCCTGTCGCCATCCCAGCCCATCCTCAGCCCCAACGCCAGGCTTGTGATAAACCCAGTACATTTGCTAACACTACCGGATGCTCCTGCTTGCTCGGGCTGGCCCTGAACTCACAATGTCGAGGCTGCCTCAAACTCGGGGGCACCCTCCTGCCTCAGCCTCCTGAGAGCTGGGATTATGGGTGTGCACCGTATGGTTGTCTGAGTCGCCCCCTTTCCATTCTACACACTCAGAATAAACACTATGTATTAGGGCAGCAAAAAGCTGCATAAACTATGTTCATGGACTTAACACAAGAGTTTTATTTCCCTCTCATGTGCCCATTCAGCGTCCTGCTTAAAGAGGTGGTGGAGGGGCCCGAGCACCTTTCATCTGAGGCTGCACGATCCTGGGGCGTGGAGTCCCATTTCCGTAAGGTCTGTTGGAAGTGGCCCGTTGGCTCTCTGGACTGCCAGCCTACAGTGACAAAGCTCACAGTGCTCCTGGCCCACTGTCCCATGGCCCCGGAGGACCGCTGTCTGCCAGCTCCCTCTGGACACAGGCGGGTGGACATCCAGGGGACATGGGAGGAGCAGGTAGCTGCTTAACGCCAGGCACGGTGGAAGTGTCAGTTTGGGTCACTTTCCAAACTTTGCCTCACAGCATCAACCAAGGCCCAGGTAGGAAGTAATCTGAGCAGTGGGGTCGGGCACCTGGAAGGGAAGTCACAGTGGAGCCTTGAGCTCAGAGTCATGAGTTCAAATCCTGCCAAGGGCTATTTCTTTTTGCATCGGCAACTTGACCTTTTGAGAATCAGTTTTCTTACCAGTGAATGGGGACCCTGACCCCCACTTGGCAGTTTCATGCTGGTTAGAGGTGGTGCTTATATAATAGATGTGTCAAGTGACACCTCCATTATTGAACTCTATTTGTTCCAAATTTGTGTCTGAACACCAGCAATTTTGAGAACTAAATGTATTTTATCCTTTAAGAAATAACAGAAAATCAAATAATTGGCTTTGGGGCCTAGAGTTATAAACTCATTTTTCCAGGACTTTAACAAATTTTGCAATGACTTCTCTCTTTAACTCTGTCATGGTTGTCAGTTTCCCTCTTTACTGCAGATGCCACTTTCTTGGGAGCCATGGCTACGACATTTCATGCAAATAAAGTGCAAATTTAAAAAACCATCCAGTGATGAGTGTCTGCACGCGCTCGCACGGCACTGTGTGTTGTCTGGGCGAGAGCAGCACTCAGACCGCAGCGTCACAGCTTTCTGTCCAGTCAAGACGCGGCCTGTGACTCTCTCTCGGCCCCCACAGGGTTTTCAACTTGGATTTGCAGTCTGACCATACAGCAAAGTTAACAACACCAAGCAGATTCTCACTTTGTTGTTCAGGCAGGAAGTTCGAGGTGGGAGCCCACGGACAAGCAAGGTAGCAGTGTGGATTATAACCGAGAGAAACATGTAGGAAAGGACACGGATGAGCTTTATGTAAATACAACTCGCAGGGCAGCGTTCCTGTCAGGCTTCTAGGGGCAGAGGGTGCCACGTCTGTATCCAGCACCACACCAGGAATTGGAGTCTAACCAAGCCGCCCAGCGACTCGCTTGTCACTGCCCAGAATTCTGCAGGAGCCTGGAAGAGGAAAGCTAAGTACAATATTAATAACCTCGGCGTGCCACACATCAACCCTTGGAACGTATTGGTGCCATTTCTGATGCCGCACACGTCACCATGGCCACTGTGTAGGGATCCTGCGTATGACTCAGGGGGAACTGTTCCCTGTGCAGAACCACTGGCCAGGGATTCAGGCTGGAGCGGTGCACCTGGCTGGGTGCAGCCGAGAGTCCCTCACCCTTCCCAGGAAGGAGAGGGAGCCTGGCACAGAGGGGAGGGGAAGGGAACTGCAGCGTTACCCAGTTGACAAGCTGGGTTAACCCAGGCCAGGTACTAAACCTTCTTCCCCAGACCTCGTCAACGGCAGAGAAGCAGCCAGCGGCCACCTTCAGAGGGGCACTGTTCTAAGAAGGTAGCAGCACCTGTCTGGCGTGGTCCTTTCTAGCCTTGCGGGCCTCTGCGGGTTTTGGGGGACTGGTTGGCTGCTCACGCAGGCTGGATCCACAGGGCTGCACTGTCCCGGGTGACAAGGTGGGAGAGAGGCTGTGGCAGTGGGCCCCCAGTGCAGTGAGTGCATTTCACTCCCACTGTAGGACACGGCGGGCCTCAGGCAGTGGGGCTGTGGGTTCTCACGCCGTTCTAGGGAGAGCAGGGACCAGGAAATATTTGCTGCACACTCTCAGAGACCACCACAGACGGAAACACGCATTTTAAGAAGAGGAAACTAAGGTAGAGGGATTGTGTCATCCGATCAGGGTCGCACGGCCAATGCACAGCTGTGGAGGACACCAGAACAGTCTCAGGACGGGGCAGGAAGAGCCCACCAGCGCAGGCCACAGGCTGAATCAACACAGCCTCCGCGCTGTCTCCTGGGACTGTCTCCTGGGACTGCGCCCCGGGAGGGCAGCCAGGGCTGCGGGCTGCGGCCAGGGGTCTCCCCGGTGTCTGGCCCGGGGGGGAGCAGGAGGCGGTGTGTCAGGGGTTAGGGGTGAGGGCCGCGGGCGCTCGGGTGCGCCCAGCGTGCCACACACGCTTCCTGCCTGGTGGGCAGCAACTTGGCGAGACCCTGCCGGGAAGAAGGCAAGAAAGAGCGAAAGCAAAAAGGGAGGCACGGGGTCAGTACATACGCCTTTGGGGGAAAAAGTCCACCCCGAGATTCCTTTTCGCTTTTTTGCCCCCCTTGGGGGAAGGCAGCCTGGCCAGCGGGCGGTGGGCGGCCCTGCCCCGATCCCCCCGGGCTCGGGCGCTGTCATCACCCAGGTCCCGGAAAGCTCCGGCCCGAGGGGTCCGGAAGGCCTGCGGCGGCCCTGCCCGGCGGCCCGGGGCCTGTCTGCGCCGCGTCCCCGTGGCCCTGCTCCCAGGCGCCGGCTCCGCGGGCCCCTCAGCCTCGGGCTGTCAGGGCGGCCCGGGGCGGGAGGAGGACGCGGCCCACCCCGCCCGCCTCCCGCCGTAGCTGGGCCTGGCGGCGCGGCGACGCCGTGCGGACGCGGCCTACACGAGACAGCGGGACCCGCGCGCCGCCGCCGCTTGGGCGCGCCGAGGAGCCGAGCCGAGCCGAGCCGAGCCGAGCGCGGGGCCCACGCGGGGAGCCGGAGCGCGCCCACCTCTCCTAGCCCAGGCGGGTGGGGAAGCCGGGCCCGCTGCCCGCCCACGTCCACGGTCCCCGTTCCTCCGCATCCCCGATCCCCACCCCCACTCCAGCCCCCGATCCCTGCCTCCGTCCGGGGATCCCCGCCTCGGGTCCCCCGAGACACCCGCCCGCACCAAGCTCCCAGCCCCGGCCGCCCCATCCCGGTTCGGCCCCGCGCACTCCGCCTCCCCCTCCCCGCCCCCATCCTCCCGTTCCCGCCCCCCGCTCCCCGCCCCCACCCTCCGTCCCCGCCCCCGCCGCGGCTGCGCGTCCCGGTGGGCGGGGGTGCGCGGCGCCCTCGCCCCGCCCCCGGCGCTCGCCCCGCCCCCGGGCCGCCCTCGCCGCCCGCTCAGCCCCGGCCCGGCCTCCGCGGGGCGCAGACCGCGCGCCGGCGCCCGATGCTCCCGATGCTTCGCGAGCGCCGCCGCCGCCGGTGACCGCGCAGCCGCCCGAGCCGCCCGCCGCGTCCCTCCCGCCGCCGCCCGGCTCCGCGGACATGGACGGCGCTGCCGCCGTCGGCCCGGGCCCCGACGCGGGGACGGGCACGGGGGCGGAGGCCGGCGCGACCGCAGCGCCCCCCGAGCCCCGGAAGCCGCAGGGCGTGAAGCGGCACCACCACAAGCACAACCTGAAGCACCGCTACGAGCTGCAGGAGACGCTGGGCAAGGGCACCTACGGCAAAGTCAAGCGGGCCACCGAGCGCTTCTCGGGCCGAGTGGTGAGTGGCGCGTCCACTTGTTCCCGCGTCCCGCCGCGCGCACGCGTGGGGCCCGTGGTCCCGGCGCGGAGCGGGGCTGAGGGTCCGCGGACGCCGTGCACCTCGGGATGGAGGTCCGGCCCGCGGCCCGCGGTTCCGACCGCACTTTGTGCACAGCCTCAGGGTCACCCGCAGCCCAGGGCCACCCCCCACAGGCTCCCCGTGCCCTGCGCGGCGGGCGGACTCCTGGGCGCTTCAGAGAGGAGCCCGAGGAGCAGAAGTGGGGGCGCCGCGGCGCGCCCAGGGTGGTGACAGCGCGCAGGACAGAGGGCTGAGCCGCCCGGGGCAGGGGGAGCCGGCGGTGCAGACGCTGCCGGCCGCCACAGGCGCTGCGGGCGCAGACCTCGGCTGCAGGGCTCCTGAGTGGCCGCAGGGTCTGGCGGCTGCCCGGTGACAGCGAGGCCTGCCAGGGTGCCGGGCCGTCTGCACTGCCCCGGGAGCTCGGCGTGTCCCGGGTCGTCCTGTCTGGCCCCAGCCTGGCTTATTTTCCTTTCTGCCCAGCAGGCCCTTGAAATCCACACTGCCTGTGGCTGGAGAGTTGGGTTCAAAGCGCCTGACGGCTGCAGAAAGATTTTGTGCGGTGTGCCGTGGAGAATTGTTGTTGTTTTTATTTAAAGCACATCAGATGTATTTTAATCGATTTGGAGTCTAAGTCAGAAAGTAATTATAAAACTCTTTAAGGGCACTTGGGTGGGGTGGATATTTTGGGGCCCAGAGTCGCCTATAAACCTAACAGATGGCCACAGGGAACAGCAAAATGATCTGTCAGAGGAAGTGCTGGTGTTGACGTTTTCTTTTGCATTTGTGCAGAGACAGATCTGTGGAAAACCGAGTGCTGATTGCCTGTGAAGTTCAGCCCCTAAATTCTCAGGAGCCACAAAGCTAGACCCTCCCTGATTTTCTTAGGTGCACTGTTTGAGTTGATACGATTTTATCGAATAATTTGCAAAGTTTATGATTAGTTCATTAGCAGTGTGGGATGTTGCACCTTTTATTTTAAAGCTGCCCCGTCTGTGGCAAGCAAGTCTGGAACGCACTCTGGGCTGGTTGCTTTTGGGTGGGTGGGTGGGGGGTCATCTGAAGGGATGGTTGCAGGGATGTCTGGCGCCCTGCGGCCTGTGGCGGAGGTGGAGAAGCGTGTGTGTACCTCATTCATACTTTTCTTTTGCAGCCAGACTGCTCAGGCCGAATGTTGAATAGGAAAAGCCAGGCGTAGCTCCCCACCCGCCTGCTCCTGTTGTCTTAATAGCTGTTGAAGAACTGTGCTGGGAAGTGGAAAGTGGGATAATGAGAACCAGACCGTGCTGGGAGGCGCAGGTTGCAGCACAACGCTTGTGAGGGGTTGAGTGGGAACAGGGTGTGTCTGGGATCTATCTGCAAAGGGACCCCAACATTCGGTGCTGGGAGCCCCTGGAGTTGCTTAAAAGTATTTCGCGGTAGAGGCCTTCTTGAGCTTCCTCGGGGCCCCGGGTCCATCGGTGTCCTGGCTTGGATCTCAACCCAAGGTAGAGGACTGGCCTGGAGGCAGGAGCCTGCCTGTGGCTTTGGGTGGGTCAAGCCTCGCTCTGTGCGGAAAGCGGGCACATTCCGTCAGGATTTCGTGGCACGGTCACCAGAGGGCGCTCGGAGAACGACAGAGGCGCGTTTCTCAGCTGGCCGAGGAATGGGCTCTGTTATTGTCTGGTCCTCAGTGCACTTTCCCATTGTGCTGGTAATTTCAGCAGAATCTTGTCTCACTCAAACATGATGTAAAGATTTTGAAGCTGGCAGCAGGTCCAGGCCCAGAAATTGGCAATTCCTGGACGGCTCTTTGTGTCCTTGGGGCTGCAAGCAGCTCCTCCCGCCTGCACAGATTGGGAGGCCGGTTTGCCACTCTGCTCCTGCTGAGCAGATGGCCCAGACTCCAGGAACAGACACCGTCAGGTGGAAATTTCCTGCGCCTGGCCGAGTAGAAAACAAACAAACAAACAGAAAATGGGTCAGCAAGTTGATCTTGCCCAGTGCCTGGTGGTGACTCAGGGTATGTCAAGGGCAGCACAAAATTTTCATGTGAAGCCTGAGTGTGGAATTTTCTTCCGGTTCCTGCATTCCCAGCTCCACTGAGCGGACTCCAGCCAGCCGTGGCTGCCCAGGTGGAGTTCTGGGGGATGTTTTAGTCTTGTTTTGCACCCGCTTGTTTTATAGCTTCTCTCAGTAGGAGAGGCAGGTGCTGGGTATCAGCTCCCTGGAATGCTGGGAAATCAGCATCTCCGTGGATGTACAGGCTTGACCCAGAGAGGAGAGACTCACAACAATGGGAGTGTTGGGGCTTAGCATGGCAAATTGGGGTAGTCCTTAGGAATAAGCGCTGGCATAGAACATTACCTTGGTGTCCGGTAGACACAGTGCTGAGAGGAGCGTGGAGTCTGGGGCGTGGAGCTGGCCCTAGGTCCAGGGTTGCTAGTGGGGAGATGATCCAGCCCAACCTGGCAGAAAGGCAGAGCCCTGGCTTGCGTTCCATCCTTGACTGATCCTTTCTTTGCTGGCTATGGAGCTTTGAAACCCCAGCTCTACTAATAATGCCAATTTCTTGGCATGAAATAATCTGTAAGAAGCCTCAAAAGGGCAAATGAACCATTTTAGCTTCCTTTTCTAGTAAGCTTTTTATCCCAACTCCTTTAGGACTTGATTTCGATTCTAAGACCATCAGTGGGCAGGATGCACTGGACACTTAGCCTTGTGTTGTGCAGAGAGACCTAGGTGCGGTCATCAGCTTTTTGGGGTAATTAGACCATGGTGCCGAGTAGTTAGGGAGGGGTGCGACCATCAGCACCTTCCGACAGGACCGAGTGTGTTTCTGAAGTCTTGCACGTGGGCCCTGTTTATTGCAGCACCTTTGTTTGGCTGCAGCGTGGCAGGGTTGAGCCTCTGGGTTATTTTAGGTCTATGCTTTCCCTGAGCCAAGCTCCCTGGATTGTCAGTATGGCCACACAATGCATTGCCAAAAAAGCCCACACCATTTTTTGGGAAGAGAGTTCATGGGACCACTTCAGTGTCAAAGGCCAAGTTCAGCTTCCTCTGCCGCTGGATTATTTGGACTCTGGGTGGGATCTGGGCTGGCAGCAGCAGCAGACCCCTTGGATGGACTGTGGCCCTGGCCACCAGAGTGCTAGCTTGAGGGCAGTGAGGCATCTTTAGTTACCACACCACAAGATATGACTGGAAGTGGGTGTTTCAAACATGGGTCCCCAGCTACTCATCCTCGCGCTGGACAGCTGTCCAGGGTGTGTGTGTGGGGAGTCGGCCAGCTGACCTGTTAAACTAGAGGCTGTCAGGGCAGGGCAGGTGAGGTGCCCCGTGGTAGAAGCCTGGGTTCAGTGTGCAGGAGACCTTGGTGAATGTGCCCTCCAGAGATCTCCTCCTGTGATGAAAAAGTAAGACAAGGAAGTGGTCAGTGGCTTTTCTAAGGTTGCACAGCTGGTGACCGAGCTGCGTTGCAGAAACCTGATCCTTGGTTTGGAATTTTGTAGCATTCATGTGATGCCTCTTTCCTAAACAAGGCACGGTGCTGGCCGCTAACGAGCTCCTTTCTGGCAGCCATGGATGGTGTGTACCTTCAGATGCTGCACGGAGTCTGTGGGGTTTGGCATTGATTTACTCCTCTCTGCCACTCACCTTGTCCCATGTGCAGTAGGACCTGAGGGCTTCGGTCAGTAGCTAAGAGGTCTCAGCGACTCTGCTGTCCAGGATGCAGTCAGGACAGCGGCTGCCAAGTGGGCTGTAGTTCCCTGAGCCTCAGCTCCTCAAACACAGTCTGAGGCGGGGAGGAGCTCTTCCCCGGGCGGTGTCACTGCTCCTGTGGCTGCTGCCAGCTGCCGTCTTGGAGGTCGTGGGCGTCGCTCTGTGCCTAGTCCTCTGCAGACCCTGGGCGTTACGAGGTGTGCGTGCTGGCTAGAGCCCGTTGGCACAGGGAGAGAAACAACTCCTGTGGAGATGGGAGGGCTTGCTGACGGTCACACACCCAGACCGTATCCAGCTGTTCTGTTTGGAAGTCCACTGCTGGATAAACCGAGGCCTTTCCTGATGCTGTACAGCTGGTTCCTCCAGATGTGTACGTGATCCTTCACCACCAGTGCGGTCTTAGTTGCTTTCTTGGGACAAAATACCTGACACCCACAAGTTAGAGGAGGAAGGGTTTACGCTGACTCACGGTTTGTAGAGAGTTCGGTCCTTAGTTGTCTGGCTCCAAGGCAGGGTGGCGCGCAGTAGGAGCAGCAGTCCGCGGCAGGAGGGCCCAAAGCAGCGTGATTTCCTCCTTTCCTTTTTCATTCCGTCCAGGCTGCAAGCCTATTGGTTGGTGCCACACCCAGGGTGGGCCTTCTGCCTTCAGTAAATGTATCACTCACACCCAGAGCTGTGTTAGAACAACCGTAGGACTAATCCAGCATCAAACAGCAGGATCCAGTCAGTCCCCAAAGGGCCACCTATGAGCGTGGGAGGCTTTGGGGGAAATCCAGATACAAACCACGACAGGCATCAGAGAGGTGATTCTTCTCTGGGCGGGTTCTGGTTACCATTGGGACGGGGTCGCGCAGGAGATGGGCTGTGGCCCACTGAGTGGGTTTCTGCCAGCCAAGAGGAGGTCAGAAAGATGGCCCGGGCTTTGGGCTTCAGGAGATGGAAACGTGCAGCAGCACAGGCAGAGGGCAGATCACTGCTGTGTGTTTGGGGCCGGGTCGGGTAGACGGTGGAGTTCATACTGGGTGCAGTCGAGGCAGAGTTGGCGAGGCAGGATGAGGACAGTGGTACTGCATGTGCCGGGCACATGTTCACTGATCACAGCTTCCTAAGCAACTTGCCATCATGCCATTTTCCAGATGGAGAAACTGAATCACGAGGGGTTAGTCATCCTGCCCAAGGTCACATGCAGCAGCAGGGCCAGGGTTTGGACCCCCTGTACTTGGAACCACAGAGGCCTTGAT